TTTTTTTTTTTTTTGCCTGTATGTTACGCGATAACTCCGGTATTTGTGAATCGATTTTCATGATTCTTTTTTGTTTGAAAGCGGGTACTTCCATAGTGGTCCCATTTCAGTTTGAAGAAAATCATCCACCTTTAAGGGTGGCTGTTCACGCATGAAGATTCACTTTTATAAATAGCGCCTAACTTTAATTTAGGAGCAATTATTGTAATAGTTGATTTTGCTATTTCTCCAATTCAAGGCGTTTTTCTCTCAATATACTTTGAGTAGTAAGTAAGTTTTTATTATCTCCAGTGTCAAGTCCTGTATAGTGGCGAATTTAAGCAAATAGACGTAATTCCACGTACTTTTGAGGTCGGTTTTTTTAGTACTCTGTACTGAGATTATGCTATGACAGTTAGATTCACAGAGCGATGAAATTCGTGTCGAATAAACAGCCCTAAGGGTGGTAAAATTACAGGCACATGGGACTTGTCAAGTTATGTATCAGGGTGACGGGGGCAGTGATAGTGCCCCTCAGATCTTTGCGATTTAAAGCTCTAAGTGACACTGCAACTGTTATAGACAGCCGTGTAACTTACCATCATCACCATTACAAAAAGAAATAGATTAGGTAGGCCTAGTAAAATCATATGAACGCCGTTAAATCAAAACATTGTAAGCATTGACTTACAAATAAATGGGCGACGGGTTTAATACAAAAACCACGAAAAAATGTCCCAAGTCAACCTATTTAAACGTAGGGACATGTAAAGGAATATGAAAAAGCTAAAACGTTGAATTTAAATTGTAATGTCATCGCAGTACTGTCTAATTTTGCTTGCTTCGCTGTCAGTCGAACAAACGAAGACTAAAGCGTGAATGACGCTCTGTATACGATTTTAACGCCTTACAAGCTCGGACACTTTTTAGCGCAGACCCGACGTCCATATAATTGTAAGTCAATGATTGTAAGTGACTTTATAGCGTATTGGTTTGACACGGGCATTATTGCACTAAGTTCAATTTTGTGTTTTGTTATCTTTCTTTATATTAAATGTTTGTTTTTCTGTTTGTTCCAGGCTTCACAGGCGGGGTGAGTATTTATGGACTTTTTATTGCCTACAACCACATGAGTAAAGAAATGTAACAGAGACAACGCTTCTAAGGAGCGTGAAAAATTTATACCTTCTTCGGTAGGGTTGTCACATGAGAATGTGATTAAATAAATAAAAATTTTTTTCAGCTTTTTATTATGTATCGGTATCTATTTACCACATTACTGTTTTTTTCTACTCCCGTACATTGATCTATCCATTATAATTTCATGAACTTAAAATTTTAGTTGTGAATCAAAGTTCTATTGTCTATGGTAGGTACTCGCCACTGAGCTGAAAAATGTCATAAAAGTTCTGTAGACAGTACTGTAATGAGTTTAAAAAAAAAGTGTTTTTACTAATTAAAAGAGCCTGCTTAAATGCGTCACTGCTCTCCTAAACTAAATAACGTCACTATATTTGCTAAATGACCAAACTTCAAATTATTTTATTAAATAATATCTCATAGGAAATGAAACTATTTTTCCGGATTTAAATCGCGTATATTTGTTTTTTCAAACAAACCGACGTTTACAGGTCCCATGGTCACAGTTGACTGAGGTGGTACAGTCTTCAACCAGTTATGTCTAATATTAATGCAAACCACCCTATTTTTTCGCTACAGTTACAATAGTTATAATAGTTTAACTGCGTCCGTGGCCGAACGGTTACCATGCTGCCACGCAGAGGTCTCAGGTTCGATTCCGGGACCGGGAGAAACATTTGTATGGCCTACATTTATTTCTCTCGTGAGTTTGTGTGTAATTTGTGGTTGTCTATGTGTGTTTCCATGGCACCCGCGACACAGGGTTTTCCTAGTGCGGGGCTATGTTGAGTGTGTGCGTTATCATTATTAGTTTAAAAAAAAAGGTGGTACAGTCTTTAACCAGTTATTAACTTAAGACCAGTTATTAAGTTAACCAGTTATATATAATACAGGGCCCGAAACGTCGGTTTGTTTGAATAAACAAATATACGCGATTTAAATCCGGAAAAACAGTTTCATTTCCTATGTGTAACAATCGCGAAAACCTAAGAACTCGATAAAAAATATCTCCTTAACTAACAGTAATTAATTAATTAATTACAACATTAATGAACAATAATTACCAAAAATACGATAGTTCTTTTTTGAAACTCATAGTTCTGTGTAAAGAACTATAATGAAATTTTAACCGACTTTAAAAAAGGAGGGTATTGTACGCGGTTGCTCTTTATTTTACTTATTATTTGTGAACCGATTTTGATGATTCTTTTTTTATTAGAAAGAGGATACCTCAGTGTTGGTTCCATTAAATTTGAAGAGAATATTCGACCGCTAACTGGCCAACTAGGAGGTGAACCCACTTTCCGGTAACTGGTTCCAATAAAACTTGGCAAATAGACGTAATTCCACGAACGTGTGTGGTCGGTTTTATTTTTATAAAAAAGTCGTAATTATTCAGTGCAGTAGCGAGTGCCATAGACAAAGGAATTTTGATTCAGAACTAAAAAGAGCGCCTTTGATTATGTAATTATAATAAATTGACAGATTAAGCGCTCAATTACACTAGGCGAAAGTTTTTGGCATATAAGTAATACTTTGACATTGTTTTTTGATATGGTCGAGTATTACTTATTTTACAGAATTGTTTCGAGCGTATGTTGGAGAACAGTAGGTCTCCTGAGCTTGAGCTCTGTCCGAACCCATTTGAACAGGTTTCTCGGCGTACGCGACAATGCCGCCAGGGCTCAGGCGCACACGTGCATCAAACTTCTATTAGCGTGCCTATCGTAGCGCGGTCGAATGAAGCTTTGTCTCAGTCCGTTTCATTACTCATGTGTTACAACATTAATGGATGTAAATTTTGAGGGACATACGCTTACCGCGACCATAAATGTGTGACGTTTTTAATGTCAGTTAAAGTGATAGCCAGCGTGTAAATTAGCTTAAAACCCTATCGTTAACCATTCCCGTCCAAAAAATGATATCCCAAACAATTCCCTTCCAGCAAACCCCTGAAAAACCTGACGTTGAGACCAATGAAGCTAACCAGTCAGAAACTAACGAAAACGAACCCAACCATTCCCAAATACAATCAGACGTATTTTTACTCCAATATCCTAAGTTATGCAATAAATCTAAAAATATAGACGAAGTTGTCGACTTCGAAGAACTGGCCAATCAACAAGTTGAAGAAACCGCGAAGCAAGAAGAGGAAGGTACTGTTGATGCACCTGGACAGCTAGTTCGACCGCTACCTGAAAAGCACACAGAAATAATAAAAAAAATATCGTCAGGAGGAATTGAAAGGGAATCTGACGTTGTTTTTCTCGAATTTCTCAGCGAACACGAGGAAGTGGCAATTGAAGATACGAAAAATGTATTGAGTCAATTAAATAAGTCTTCTATGAATATAAAACAAAAATCAAGAACTCCGTCTTACGACGATCAGTCAACGAAATCGAATCAACAATTTATGGAAGAACAGATCGAGTCCGATGATTTTATTAAGCAATCTATTTCAGCTGACGATAATGAAGAGGGTTCATCAGGATCACAACCATCTAATAAAGAACTTTTAGATGTAACTAAGGGCTTTTTCAAACTACCTACAGAATTGATAGAGGAAGACAGCGAATCACAAAAAGATCTACAAAAATCAGTTATTGAGTCTCAGTCAGTTAAGAAACAAGAAAATGATTTATCCCATTTAGACACCGAATACACTGGTCCAGTAAAATCGATATTTGGACCTGAACCAATCCGGGACTACCCAAATTCTTTAGAAGAACTATTGTCCGTAAAACCAAGAGACTTTGATGTACCAGATGAAATTGTAAATGTTAATAATGAACCGTATGTTTCATTAAATACGTTCGATATTCAAGCAAGTGCTTATGAAAGACAGGTGAAGCCAACTGAAAGTCGAACAGAAACGGTTGCTGAAGTACAATCGAATTACGATATAGTAGTTGGAACGGAAGAAACTGTTGTCGAGCCCAAAATTTCAAGTGGAGACAATATGCTCCAAGCAAATGCGACAAAAATTGAAAAGCCTTGCGTAACAGGTGAACTAATACGAGAACCAATACGAGAGAGGTATAATGATTTGAAAAAATTAAATGAAATTTTAAAAGCTGGATTGGAAAATGCAGACAATGATGAACCAAGAAAATCTGATCTCCAGCAAGACAATCCTGAAGTCAAAGCTCCAGAACCCAACTCCGAGGAGACTGAAGAAACATTAAGTGTCACACAAGTTGTGAACCCTTCCGGATTGTTAGAATATCAACAATCAAATAAAGAGAACAGTGAAGCTGTAAATATTAAAAACAGTTGTCAGTTACAGATAGAATCTTCTTCGCGACATTCGGATCCTGGTGCAACTGATACTGGCACAAAGAAAGCTTTTAAAGAAGAAATAAAGTACTTATCGGGCCACCTCCAGTTCAGATACTTGGACGCTGTAAGCTCTGCTACTAATGTCCAGAAAAACTCCGGAGAAGAGACGACAGATTTACCTGGAGGTGGTAAATCAGGCGATGGCACTCTTAACGTTGGCACTAACATTTCAAAAGTCAGTCAAGTAGGACAAGAAAAATCAAAAGTGAGTCTTGGTGTTGAACATACTTCGATTTCAAATAGTGTCCTTTATCAGGATAGTCAGATTACAGTAAAAAAACCTAAACACCAAGAAAGTGGTATTAGTCAGTTGGATAATCGTTCAGACAACTTTGATTATGAACATAGAAATATTTACGGAACCGTTGTAGAACGTAAAAGACTTGTTGAAACTGGTCCCGTGATTAGAGATGGGGATGATGCTGCAATTAACAATGAAGAAACTTCAATTGTTACCTCTACCCACCAAAAAGTTAACATTGGAGAAAAGTCTGAAACTAATATTGGCGATTTTACCGAAAACTCTGCATCTGTACATTTAGACCAATCAGAAATAAAGAAATCTGCAACTAGTCATTCTCAAACCAAGCAAAGTTCCACTTTAGAACTAAAAATAAAAGAGCAAGCGACTATGGAACAAATCAGCAAAATGAAGGTACGTGTGGAGTTTAAAGAACTACAGAACCCGGAAAATGAAGAAACTGAAATTTTAACAAAAAATGAGCAAGTCAGGGATATAAATAAAATGGAAGGACATGTTTCTAAAGACAAGATCGATGGGAAAGATGCTGTGAAATTACCAAGTAGTCATGCAGTTAATAGTCCAAGTAGTCAATTACTAAGGCCAATAGGAAACAATGTTGTCGCAGAACTTTCAGCTGGACATTTGCAAGATGTCCACCAGCCTTCCGTTTACAGCATTTACATGCAACCTAATAATGCCAATGTAACACAAGCACAAAATGAAATAGTGGAGGAATTCAAACTCGCGCAATGCCCACAAAGAATGAGTAATGAAAACATACCTTTAAAGTCGATCAAGAAATCTTCTGGTGTAAATATGACAGAGCAGAGATTTGACAGTACATTAAATGTTCCTCAAACTGCCACAGTGGTGACGTTAGATAGTGTAGGCACACCTGAAATATCAAGAACTATGAAAAAAGGAGATATATCTAAGTCAGATCCGAAAGTAGGTTTCGAAACAGAGAATAGTGCAATGAACATTAAGATTGAAGAAAAAGAAAACTCATCTGAGAAACAAATAAATTTAGAATCAAAAGTCCATGTTAAACCGTCCGAAACTATGATCACAATTGCTGGAACCGTATCAAAACTACCTGAACTTGAGAGTAAACCAGCTCTACCTGACACGAAAATATCCGATTTAGAATTAGAGAAGAAAGTTTCAATTACAAAAGCTTCTGAAACAGTATCGGTTTCAGGACTCGCAAGCACGAAGACTGATGTTCCTAAAACTAGAATTGCTTCTGATGAAAAGATTGTTACGACTGTATCAATTCTTCAGCTGAAACTGGAAACGTCCGAAGTCGATGTTGATACAAAAGCTGAGCAACCGCCTATAAAACTGAAAGTGTCTGAACCATTTTCTACACTTCTAAATCAAGACTCAAACTCAAATGAAATACCAAAACCAACCCCAAAAGAACAAAGAGGTAGAGTTTTAACAACCCCAGATAGTGAAAGACGGATATCTAAAGAGTTTTTTTCAAGGTCACGATCAGGAAGCACGACAAAATCATCAAAATCACCATTGGACCAGAAGGATACCTTATCTCAAAGAGATAGAAAGAAGTCCACGCCAACAGAACACAGGGCTGTTGTACTTAATGAACGTGATCGTATTCGCCGGAGCAAATTTAAAAAATTTGCCGACGCTTGTTCCAAATTCTTCAACGTAAAAAGGTGGTTTAAGAAACACAGAAGTTCTAAATGAGAATTTTGAATGCCCAGTTTGCACGAAATTTACATGGACATGACAAAGTATGTACGTAAAAATATTGGGCTGTCAACAGTCACCAACCGTTTGGCAAGACATATTTGAGATGTCAATTTACAGCTAGCTATATCTAAAAAACTAAATCTGATTAATATTCCAGCATCTGATTTTTTATATGACTTGAAGCTTGTTCTGATGTGGAATATTCTACAACGGTAAATAAAGTTCAGTTTCACAATCATCTTTTTAGAATCCGCTTCTTCTGGATCCTACAAGAAATAAAAAAAAATATCAACACCTGCATTCAGAAACGAATGCTTTTGCATATAATCTTAAAGCTCTCTTCAATTTACAAACCGTTACGATTAACCCGGGAATTTATAACACTAAACCTGATATTATGGCTCCATATTTTAAGCTTGAAGATAACCGTTCAAAGTGCTATAGTAAACGTTCAAAGATTGAAATTAAATCTTTAATAAAGAAAGTAACTGGAAATGTGTATTTGTTGGTCGTGTAAGGTATTCAAAATAATTCTATGAGTATCGTGTTATAAATAAGACTCAGCGTTTGTTTACGGTCATATGACCGTATCATATTTGTACGTTACAATATTCAAGATTTTTTTTATATTAAATAAAGTGTTTTATTTTGTTTTAATCTTGTTTTCTCCTGTAAATTGCTTATTTTGACTTTTTTGTATAATAGAGTAGAATTCCGAAATGAATTTTATGACGTATACGAGTTAGAGCGATGCTACACGATACGTTGCGTCGAACGTTATGGCGTGTTGTGACTCGCTGCGTCGTTCTACTTAAAAAAAGACCATGCCACACGGTGCGACGGCGCAAGGTTCGTGTGGCGTGTTCGGTCGTAAAATGTATTCGCTGTTCTATGTGTAGATATACTGCTCTCCTTACCAGAACTGACGTGATCGCCGTTTTTAGCGGAATTCAGATAATAACTTATCTGGGGTTAGCGATGAAAAAATCTGCTTACCAATTTTAAACGTTAAAACGTCGTACTTTTTAAATATGCGTGCTTATAAAAAACGCTTTTCACTTTGATGCTTACAAAATTGTTTCGAAAAACTTTAAAAAAAGCTGGCAATGTTGTGTTGACAGCGAAAAGCGAGAATAGGCCGCTAAACGTGTTAAGAGTAGTAACTTTGTAGAAACGTGAGTTTTATTTTCATTTATAACGTTATTATTAAAGTTGACGAATTAATTTGTTCAGGAAACAAAAATGGCGGGATTCGATACTCAGAGACGTTGTAAAAAATGTAATTTAAATTTGTATTGTATTAATATTCATTTATTTTTTGTGAAATTACTCCACTTGTTTGATATAATTATTAATATAAAGATCGAACACTCAGAAAAAATTCCTTCGATCCGATCGGATTCGAACCGACGTCTTCTAGTATCTATATATATAGTAATATCAATTCAATAAAAATTTAATTAAAAGTTAATAGCGATCTCTAACCAGGGCTGGTAGCTGTAAAGGCATCTAACTAGGTGACGAAATACTTTCATAGATTTCTCATAGATGGCGCTACGGCTAAAAAGTCATTGTAAATCAAATAGAAAGATCCAACCACGAGCACATAGAAAAACCTTCCGTGGCTCAGTTGGCATAGCGTCTGCCACGGTTTGTTAGAAGACGTCGGTTTCGAATCTGGCCGGATTGCAGGAATTTTTCTCTCTTCTGAAACGTTTGTATTAATAATTATAAAAAATTAAATTGTTAAGTATTGAACTTACGACTTAAAAAATTATAAGCGTGCTTGTGCTTTTCGTTTCAACTCCCAACTCTATCTGGAATTTTTTTATAATATCAAGCGACGGGACGAAATCGTGCGCCTGATGGTCAGCTACACGCCTGTCCGTAACAGTTGCAGTGTCACTCAGAGCTTTAAATCGCAAAGACCTGAGGGGCACTCCCACTGCGCCCGTCACCATGAGACATAAGTTGACAAGTCCCATGTGCGTGTAATTACACCAAAAGGGATCAGTGAAACGAGATTTACAATCCCATCTAATCGGTTTTCTTATATCGTATTTAGTTTCAAATTTTTTACTAGGAAAAAGAAACTTTAGCTGCCAACGGCCCCCTTTGCGCACTCATTTTATCGTGCGTGATCAAGAGTGTACAGTATTGCGTGCGGGAAAGCCTGCGCGCGCAATTGCCCATTTGAATTTTTTTAAGCGAACGTTGTTTCGCGCACGATTGCCCGTGTTCGTTTTTATTACAACGGCAGACTGAACTCATTACTGGCGTAGAGTCGAAGCGTCGCAACGCGTCATGTTTTTCACCTATAGCATATTCATCTCTATTCTCTTATGATTAAGGTACAAATTTGTGTTATGCAAATATGGAACACCAGACATACCACCGTGTTGAACTGCGATGAGACGAGTGCGCGACAATGGATGAAGATGAAAAATTAATTTACTTAATCATTGACTTACAATTATATGGACGTCGGGTCCGCGCTAAAAAGTGTCCGAACTTATAGGGCGTTAAAATCGTATACGGAGCGTCATTCACGTTTTAGTCTTCATTTGTTCGACTGACAGCGAAGCCAGCAAAATTAGACAGTACTGCGATGACATTACAATTTAAATTCAACGTTTTAGCTTTTTCATATTCCTTTACATGTCACTACGTTTAAATAGGTTGACTTGGGACATGTAGTGGTTTTTGTATTAGACCCGTCGTCCATTTATTTGTAAGTCAATGTACTTAATTCAAAAATATGAATGTCTATATAACATAATAATCATAAAAATATCTTGCGTCGCGGCTTCAATTGCTACAAAGGGTTTTGAAGCCGCCAAGTATACGTCTTTCCACCCAAATTCAGCTTCAGATATAAGAGCAATTATAATAAGATCGATATCAACCATTGTACACTATCGAGCACGAGCGCCATTCACGAATGTTCAAAAGTCTCTGAACTAGAGGTGGGTGATAAATAACGTCACGATGAAAAAATCACGATGATCCGCCGGTAAACAGTATCACCGTGACTCGTTCCAAAGTCACATACGGTGTTCCTCCGTTCCAATAGCTATCATCATTTACATCACGACATACGTATTTGATACAATGCGCGATCTCCGTTCCCTGGTGACTGAGCGCGTCACTCGTTGTAGTTCTCTTCAAATCAGGCCGTTTCGGCGACGGGAGTGAGTGAGATAGGATGACTTTCTTTGCTCACAAGAGTCGTAGGTGCTTATTACAACTAGAAAGGGCGGATGAAAAAATCTGCAGCAGTTACTATAAACCTATTTATTAACATAGTAAAATATTTTTGTGTATTCGTTTTATTATAGGAAGAGTTGGTATTTTATATATATGTATAATCTACTTTGTGTATTCTATTAGAAATATAATTACATTACACTTTATTGCTATTTTTAACGTTCCAAAGAATCGCATTAAATAAGTAACAAACAAAATTACATTAAATACAAAATCAACTTTTTGAATGGAATTGAAACTTATTACAAAGGGAGTAAAAACTTAAATCATTCTATAAAAAACGGCTATAAGTATTAGAAAGAAGCCGCTGGCTAAAACCGTATATCGTGTTGTAAGTTGTAGGCGTGACAAGGTCACAGAAGTAACAGTCGTGACAAAATATCGTGATTTTTTTGGAACCGGAACGACGTCACGGCGATAGAATGTAACGCTATTCCCCATGTCTACTCTGAACTGGTGCAGCAAGTGTTATAGTTGAAAAACATGACGCGACGCTTCGACTCTGCGCCAGTGTGAGTTGTTTTAAATCGATTCAAGGTTCCCCTTCTCTTGATTCCTTTAAACGACGTGTCAAGGATCACTTCCTCAACTCCTAAGTTTTGTCTTTTTCTTCACTATCCTTTAATTTATTTCCTATATTTGTTATTTCATTTTACGTGCGATAAAGAATATTTCATTCCTTCATTTGAGAGGAAGAGCGCTCGTTTAAAAGGCAACTTTGGCTTCTCTTTCTTTCCCTTTTCCTCCCAACTTTACCTGCGCGCTTATTCGCGCACGATTGTTGTGTCACGCCCGAAAGAGTGTCTGTGTAAAACCCTCTATTATCTCGAAAGTTATCGAAGGCATTGCGTTAGATACAACAAGGAGGGCAGTATAGTGCGCTAGTTGCCCGGTCACAAAATAGAGGCTTTACGTCTGTTGCATAAGACATTTTGTTTTAATTTCTGTTTATTACCAAGATATTTGTTGACTACGAATATTGAGAAAATGTTGTTTATATTCGGTTAATAAAATATATGACAGGTACGGTGTTGTCTGGCGTATTATGACATTCAACATTCGTTGAGGCTCAAAATATTTTTCTTTTTAATCGACTTCAAAAGGAGGAGGTTCTCAATTCGACGCTACTTATATATTTTTTTATTTTTGTATGTTTGTTACGCGATTTCTACACCGATTTTGATGTTTTTTTTTATTGGAAAGGGGGTACCTCGAGTCCCATTTAAATTTAAAGAAAGGATTCCTCCTCTAAGGGTCGTATTCTAAAACTCTACTCTATGCTCAAGTCAGGGTTTGAGTATGGTTTAAAGCACTCGAAATCATACTAAAACCCCTGCCGTTAGGGTCGTATTTCCAGTGCTTGTGTTTCCAGTGCAATCCTGACTTGAGCATTGAGTAGAGTTCTAGAATACGACCCTAAGAGTGGCAAGCCAGGGGGTGAATCCAGTTTCGCGCTTCCAGTTTCCAGTTTTCAGTTTCAATAAAACTTGGCAAATAAATTTAATTCCACGACCTTTTGAGGTCGGTTTGTTTAGTATTCTGTACTGATATAACGTAAATACAAACCAATTGTTTTCATATGGAACATTGTCATATAAAACATTTGACGTGGCGTAAAATCATACTGTTGTTTGTTGTGGCGTATTGTAACATTGGGACCGCTAGACTGTAAGTTTAAAGAGCTTTTTAAAATATACGGAAACAAATTAATATTAACAAATACTGTTGTTGAAAAAACTTAAATTTTTAACATTGCAGTGGCAACAGCAAGCTCCGCCTGGTGTATGGGGATACCAAGGAGATCAGAACGTAAGAATTTATAAAGATTTTTATGTGTTTGCTTGTTTGTGCATGTGTGATGCATATCGCCTTGCTTTCTCAAACTCATATCTGAAAGCACAAAGGTCTTGAATTTACAAATTTTGCAGGCTTATTTCAGATCACATGACTTTCATATTCACAGACCCTTGTTGTTTAATATAAATAGCAGTGGCGAGGCGTCCATATAACTCGATTTCCACCGGCTTACCTAAAATTTTCCACGTATTATCAAATACTACAGTTTGTGCTAAATTTTAAGTGTACAATAAGTTAACTTGTGAAATGAAGTGTACTAGAACTGTGTTCGTTTTTATTGCAACGGCAGGCTGAACTCATTATTGGCGCAGAGTCGACTATGGTCGCGACGCGTCATGTTTTTCGCCTATAGCATATTCATCTCTATTCTCTTACGATTAAGGTACAAATTTGTGTTATGCAAATATGGTACACCAGACATAGCACCGTGATGAACTGCGATGAGACGAGTGCGCGACCAAT